TAGCCTTCAATCTTGAGCATGTATGGAGAATCCTTAAAGATCGTCCTATGTACACTCCACAGTGTTCTAATGATATTTTTGTTGAGAAAAAAAAAGACGAGAATTGATGAGTCTGGTGCCAGCAATACTTCATCAAAGGGGGGTGCAAGCATTGACTTAGATGAACTTCATGAAGTGGCTCGCCCCATCGGACAGAAGGCAGCCAAACGAAAGGCCAAGGGGAAAGGCAAATCTAACCTTGATGAGATGGCTACAGAATACAACAACATGGTTAAGCATCTTGCTGAGTTAAGTAGCTTGAAAAAAGCTGAAGTTGAAGTTAAAAAAGCTACTCTTGAGGAGAAGAAACAGAGAAATCGTCGGAAAGACTATGATATTTTAATGAAGGACACAAGCCACATGACTCAAGAGCAACGTATTTCTCATGAAAAAATGTGTCAAGTAATTCGAGAGAAATGGAACTTGTAGACGTTGTATTATCTGTTTTAATTATCATTGTATTTTTGTTTGTTGTGATTGGAGGTATTGAACTTTTAGCTTGTATTTCATTTAACTTGTTCTTGTTCTTGTTAAGTTGTTAGTCAATCTTTCATTAAATTGTTCTTGTTCGAAATTAAATTTATAGTATGTCTTTCCACTTAAATTGTTCTTTATAATTGAGAGATATATTGTCTTTTAATCAATTTGCTGGTCAAAATCGATATGTCAGAAGATAAGATATGGTTCTGAAAAATTAATCGATTTGCTGGCACAAATAAACATGTCAGAAGATAAGGCATGGGCTGTGGCACGTTTATCCATTTGATAACTCAATTAATCTGTCAGAAAATGAAGTATGGGTCGTGAATGACAGCCATATGCAATTGATGTTTATAATAATCAATTTGCTGGTCAAAATCGATATGTCGGAAGATAAGATATGGCTCTGAAAAGTTAATCGATTTGCTGGCACAAATAAACATGTCAGAAGATAAGGTATGGACTGTGGCACGCTTATCAATATGATAACTCAATTAATGGTCAATACACATATACGTTGATGTCTATATATTCAAAGCGAACTCACATATATTTTCTCATTCTGCAAATCACAGTTACACACTTTAAATTCAATTAGAATCCTCCAAAAATGTCTCAAAATTCATATAGATCCGAGTCTAATTCATCATCATCCACAGACAGTGAAGATGGTGATGACACTAACGATTTAGAAGTTGAAATGGTTTCATCAATCGTTCAACGAAGCCACGAGTTACTTCAAGCATATCAACATGAAACTGAAGTTCGTAGAAGAAGAAGGTTCATCCAGAGAAATCGTGAAGATGGGCATGACAGACTTGTAAGTGATTATTTCTCTGACCATCCAGTCTATCCGGATCATTTATTTCGTAGACGTTTCCGTATGCGAAGAGAAGTATTTCTTCGAATTGTGAATGCACTTCAGACACGATCATCATATTTCCAGCAAAACATTGATGCAGTAGGACGACAAAGTTTGTCACCACTTCAAAAATGCACAACAGCTATTCGTCAGTTGGCTTATGGAGTCCCAGCTGACCACCTTGATGAGTATTTACGTATGGGTGAGTCAACCGCTATCAAATGTCTTTTTAAATTTTGTGAAAGTGTGGTTCAAATTTTTGGTGATGTATATATGAGAAGACCGAACAGTAGCGATGTTCAAAGACTCCTCCAAATGCATGAAGAAAATCATGGTTTTTCGGGTATGCTTGGAAGCCTTGATTGTATGCACTGGGAATGAAAAAATTGTCCAGTTGCTTGGAAAGGGCAATTCACAAGAGGGCATGGGTCTCCTACGATTGTCCTTGAAGCGGTTGCTTCATACGATTTATGGATATGGCATGCCTTTTTTGGTGTTGCAGGATCACGTAACGATATCAATGTATTATATGAATCTCCTCTATTTAATAATGTATTGCAAGGAAATGCACCAAACGTTCATTTTACTGTCAATGGCACGCAATATGCAAATGGGTATTATCTTACAGATGGAATATATCCAGAATGGGCTACGTTCGTAAAGTCTTTTCCTTGCCCGTCAGATCCTAAAAGAAAGTTATTTAAAGAAAAACAAGAAGCAGCTCGAAAGGATGTGGAAAGAGCATTTGGGGTGCTTCAGTCTCGATGGGCAATTGTAAGAGCTCCTGCTCGGTTTTGGTATAGAAGAAAACTGAAATTTGTTATGTTGACATGCATTATTCTACACAATATGATTGTTGAAGATGAAGGAGATGTAGTAACACATTGGCACAATGACGAGGATGAAGAGCCCGCACAATCTGTCCAGGGGTCAAATCGAGAATTTCAAAATTATATTCGTAGAAGTTCAGAGATACGAGATAACACAATGCATCATCAACTTCGTGCCGATTTAGTTGAGCATATTTGGACTCATTTTGCCAACAACTAAAAAAATATTTTCTATAAATGTACTATTTTTTTCTTGTGTAATCTTAATTTAAATTATTTTGGTATTGTAATGTTCTTTCATTTTCATGTATTTAACATTTATTATTATAATTTAAAAATATTAAAATTTATTTTTATTGAGAATAGAATATAAAAAATTATATTGAATGAGTGGATAATGGATCCCACATATGTATTTAAATGAATGTGTAGGAATGTGGGTGTGTGTTTAAATGGAGAGAGATTTAGTGGAATGATGATGTGTAGATGATGTGGATGAGAGATAGTGTTACTTTTTGATTGAATGAATGATTTTTGTGTTAAGGGATGTGGATGCCCTTAACGAATAAAGAGTTGCTGAAATATTGGGCCGTGATTGTTGGGCCTTACAATTTTGTCATATGAATAATTTTGATCCTCCTGTATGCATTTAAAGTCCAACAAAAGTCATGTTGTGTTACTTGTTTTTTAAAATTTCCTTATATTGTTTGCTGAAATTTTTATATATCACTTGTTTTTTAAATCAAAATGCATTTGTTCACGAATTCTGGATCATCTCATCACTTAAAATTATCAATTGAGCTAATTAATTTAATCAGAATAGTTGAAAAGTAGAATAGTATTAAAAGACTAATTTTGCTTATTGGCCTTAGTAATCTATCATTTGAATAACTTTAAATATGTGGTGACACCTGATTTATATTCTCGTCCATTATAATCACATTAATTTTGATGAAAATAATATTACTTATTAATATTATAATATAACGGTAATTAAAAATAGTTAGACTATTCACGATCTTTTATTTATTTTTTCTTTATTTATTAAGAAAAAATATCATTATATACTATAAAAATAATGATAAAAATATATACAATTTTAGATTATACATATAAAATAAATAAAAAATTATATATTAATTAAACCGGTTCGACCACTGGTCCGACCAGTGAACCATTGAACCGGTAGCTTCACCGGTTCAAGAACCGGTCCGGCTTTCAGAACATTGCTTTTTAGTGTTATGACCGAGTCACTATGAACAAAGTAAAATAAAAAACTTATTTACCTCCCGCCCATATACAACCAATACATGTGGTTAACACTAACAAGCCAACATCACCACACACTCGAACTCTTGAAATCGAAATGGAGACTTGAAAATTCATCGAAATAATTTCTCATCTGCTGAATCTTTCACGTACTTGGGCAACAGAATACTTCTTCTTCAAGACATAACTCAGTGTGTTGTTCAGTGAACTGCAATTTCTTGCCACAAGAAATTGAACACAGGGTCTCGGTGTATGTATGCCTTCTCACGCACTTCTTGAAAAACACTCAGTAGCAAGCATGTTCCTCACTCGGTCTACTACATGCCACAGAACGGATCGCGATTTGCTTGTTGCGTGAAATCCTATCCATTTTTTTCGCAAACGTGCCTATTTTTTTTTCTTGGCTGTGATTTGAATATAAATATTTACTCTTGCTGGATTTTTTTTTTTTTTTTTTTTTTTTTTTTTTTTTTTTTTTTTGTTTTTGGTTTCGAGAAGTGAAAGGTTAACAATTAAATGATACAATTAATGAGTAGTAACAAGGGTGGTATATATACATCAACCAATGTAGGTACATGCCATTTGTCTAAGGTTTTTACGTGAAAAATCAGACAATCAATGAGGTGCATATGTGAATAATATGTGAAACATTTCTTCGACTATGCAATTTGTGATATGGATCTACGAAGAAATGGAAGATAGTAGTAAATTATGCCGTTTTCGATTTGGATATACGATTTGTAAATATGCGAACATGTTACGCATAGTCGTTAATCATACGGCGTTATAGATTTGGATATGTGAGTATGGTAAAAAATTCCGCATAATCCTAAAATATGCGATGTTCGATTGAATATGCTATAACTTAATATCTGAAACTTTCTTGCATATGATAAATTATGCAGTAGAGTTGGATATGCGATTATTTCACATACTTGTTATTTATGCTTCCGATTTAGATATGTGAGTTATAAACTATTCGAAAATATGTGGCATAATGATAAATATGCGGTGATCAATTTAGATATGCGATAACTATATATGCCAAATAATTTCACATATAAAAAATTATGCAGTGAATTTGAATATGCAATTACAAAATATGCGAAAGTGTTTCACATAATTATTAACCATGAATTCGATTTTGATATGCGTTGGTATAATACTGTTAATTATACGGTTCATTTGAATATGCGATTTTTATATCATATATAATTTTGTGAATTGTATGGGTACAAAGAAGTTATTTTATGGGACAGAATGTAAAAAATTACATGTATATGTTGGAGAATAAAAGATGTCCGTCCTAGTTTATACAGTGTTACGCTTTAAATAAAAGGTGTTATAATCCTATAACATTGACTATACATTACTAGAAGGCTATCGCCGTGCACAGCACGGCAGGCCCACGATAATTATTTCCAAGATAATCTTGATGTCCACATGTCACAGCAGGTCCTTTCGATTAAGGGCGACGTGGCTGCATAAAAATGCAGTGCCACGTGTCAGATTAAGATTCATCACTCGAGTCGATTGAGTCGTCGTTGTCTTCTTGATGATACTTGTGTTGCAAGCTTTCTCATCGGAATTTTCAGCCTTAACAAAATGGCCCCCCACGTCCTCTGACTCGTTTGACTCGTTTCAGGGCATGTTGATGCTGAGATTTGTGAAGATAAGACTAATGATAAACAGAGATAAATGAATCTATTAAACACCCTGCTTAAATGTTCAAAGCAATGAAAACCTCATGCATGAATAACTTAAATGTGTAATTCTAAACAAAGTTGAAAAAACATTTCATCAAGTAAAATGTATAATCACAAAAACCACTCCTGAAGGTTTGGGTACATACAAGAGAAATTACAAATATGCTTTATGGAGCCAAACCTTTATAGCTCTTGAAGCTCCAATCTCAATTTTTGCCTTTGCACGCAGAACCCTACTTCTCAATATCACATGGTATGTTTGGCATTCACATAAATAGGCTCTTCTTTAATTACGTAAGACGGCACTGTATTGAAACAAACCTCTCCATGCATCCCTGGATACACCTGACAAAAACAATTCATGATCATTTGTTTTGTCACATCACATAGAAAAGCAGGAATCAAAAGATCTAAATACCATTCAACTGTAAGCAAATTTTTAATGTTTGTTCTTTCAAGAAACAATCACGACACTAAGTGTTAGTATTTAATGTTCTCACATGTGGACAAACCAACTTGATTTATTTGAGTTTCTTGCATTGGATATCCACCCATTGTAGGAGACAGTGTGGATATGTTCCAAAACTTGGTAAGAGTTTCTCAGACGGCATAGAAAACAAAGTATATTAAACCACATCATAAGAGTTCTTTGATAACTGATTGGAAAACTAATTGAGCAATGAGAAATCTGAGCCAAAAACATCAAAAGATGACGTACGAACCTGAATGCGGCGTTTTTTATATTTGTTCACCAGACGAAAAGCCTAACTGATAGGTCACTCCCGATGTGTGTCTTGATGGTACGTTTGGTGACGAAAGCTTGCCTCCTTTTCCATATGGAAGAAAATTACTGAACAATANCTATTTATTAATTGAAGCTAAAAGAAAATTTCCTTTGAATTACATTGTTTTATTTAGTGAAATTATTCAGAATCATCACATATCTAAGACTTTTACACATTTGTTACTTAGATTTTGTTACCTTCGTTACCTTTGTGGATACATGTTAAGCAAATTTTCGCATTCTACTGACAAATATGAGAAAAACATCTATTTATCTATGTTCTTCCCAACTTTGAGTATCATAAAAATTGATACAGTTCCATTTTATCCCGTATACATCCAACCATCCATTCTCAATGCTAATTAGCAATCAGTAACCGATACTTATATGTGCACAAAAATTCTTAACCATTATTGCTAAACTTAAAAAAAAATGAATAATGAAAATTGATAACAAATAATAATAGACTTTCTTGTTTTTTGTCTCGAGCATGTGCAAGAAGCTTCTAATGCAAACCGACAACAAACTCTAGTGGTTAATCTGCAACCCACAGATGCTTACCTCACAATATCTGTAACTCTAACTAAAAATAGGCCAAAAGGGACAAACAAAAACCCTAACTATAATTTCGTCTAAATTGTAAAAGTGTTAAAATGAAATGAGATGGAACTCACCTCACAAACATTATTGGGATTCCGGCGAAGAGCATTAGGACTCTGCTGAAGAGTATCGAGATTCTTGTGATTATTAGGTTCCCCTTTTCTGTAAAAAAAAAAAAACTAATGCGGCTGCTAGCACTTTGGATTCATGAGAAAATGTCACACTAAATGGATTCTAGATTCTAGATTCATGAGAAAATTCTTCATACCTCCATGTCGCTTGGCTTCAATTTTTCGGGCTTGTTTGAGAATTAGAAGAAATTGCTTTCTTCGTTACATCCAATGCTCGGCTCACACGATTATTGTGAAATCAGAGCTGAAATGAAAAAAACAACACTTTTGGTACATTATTGCATAGAAAATAGCCACCGCGGAATGAGATCCAAGGGCGAGAGAAATTAGCCAAAAGGAAAAGGAGGATTTTAAATTAAATAACGAAACTTACTTAAGAAATAGCATTGTCATCGTAATCGGCTCCTCTTGAGTCCATAGACTCCATGCCGTCTAGATTTGATCCATCTGTCTATAGGTGGGGAAAATTGCACCGCCGTTCACGCGATCGTGCTCGAACCAGCCGTCAACAGAAAAATGAGACCCAACGCGAAAAAAAATCGAACAGATTCGCATAGGAAATAAGAAGGGAAGATTGATGTTTGGAGGCAACAATCATAAGTGGAACGGAAAAATAAACAAAAAATAATAATTGAAGAGATTTGCATAGAAATAAAAATTAGAGTTTCAGATTCGAAGGCAACGAAATTTAGGAGAAAAATTTCTCGAGGATTGAACGCGCAGGCAGTAGGTTGGAGAAATATCAGTGTCAAATGACACTGTTTTGGTACAAAAGGAAACAATGTCGTTTTAAACACAAAATGACGTCGTTTTTATTAGGGCGACGTGGCCTCATAAGACCATCTCCAATCGAAAAACTCATACTCAAACTCATTTTGCAGTAACTGTCACATTTTGCAGTAATTCATCTCCAACCGAAAAATTCATTATCAAACCCAAAAGAATATTCTCAAAATATTCTCTTTTACATCAACTTTTACAACTTTTCAATACTACCCACATATTTTATAACTTTACAAATTAAACCACAATATTACTTTAAATTCAATTTATACTTTATATAATAAAATTAATCATAAAATTATAATCATATACATAATATTCATTAAAAGTTAAAAGTAAAAATTACAACACACAAGATAAAATAAAAAATTCCAACGCACAAGATGAAAAAATTAAAATTTACACCACACAAGAGAAAATTAAAAATTACAATGCATAAGATGAAAATACCATAAAGAATGCATGCTTTACATTATTATTGTGAAATATATAAAATAAAATGATAAGTATAATATTTATTATTTTAAATATTATACTATTTAATTTGTATGAAATATTTTTTTTAGTATTTAATTTGGTAATGTTAGTGTATTTTTTATGTGTTAAATAGTCTGTTTAATATTATTATGGTTTGTAAATTGTTTTCTTTTATAAAATATACTAATATATAATAATAAAAAATGAATAAAATAGTATTTAACTTAACAATAATTACTAATACTGAATATAATATATACACATACATAAAATGTTGATAAATATTATATTATAGAAAAATTATATTATTTCAATTTATTATTAAAATGTTGATAAATATAAAATTAGTGCCATATCATGTGTGGCACGGCACCTTCCAGTTTCCACACTCCACAAACAAATCTCATTTATTTTATTTTTAAAATCCTTAGTGTAATTAAAATTAAAAAGAAGGACTAAACTGTAATAATGAAAGTACAAACGCATTTGATTTTGCAGAAACGCAAATTTGCGTCGAGAGCAGGAGAGAGAAGCTCAAAAACCCATTTTGGGTTTGAGTTTGCAGTTCCATTGGAGAGATTTTCCCCCATTTTTTACGTTTTGCCGCTCGGTTGGAGACGGTCTAATAAGAATTGGACACGTGTCAAAAAATTAAGATAGGACTTCTTTTTTATAGATAAGAGAATAATAAGATATAAATATTCTGTTACTAGTTTTAATAATTAAGAAAACTTGTCTGACCAAATGGTTAGCAGACATACTATTTCAAATGGTTAGACTACCAAATGGTTAGCAGACATACTATTTCAACATATATATCATACTTCAAAAAATAAAAAATATTACTATAAAGCCAACTTAAATGACAACTTGTCTTATAACTCAAGTGTAAATATATATCATACTTCAAAATATAAAGAATAATGCTATAGAACCAACTTAAATGACAACTTGTCTTACAACTCAAGTGTAGTATACATTTACACTTGGGTTGTAAACCAAGTTGTCATCCAAATAGGCTAAATAACATTACTCAAATAAAATATAAAAGTATAAAATGTCATATTATAATTGTAATATAAACTTATAATTACTTCCAAAATTAGCATTTCAATTACACATTTTATTACTAAAAAATGAACAATCAATAATATTTTCATGTTTACACCCATGAAGATATGTAATAAAATCAAACAAATACACGAAATTAAAACCATACGCAGATACGACAGTTAATGAGAAGAGAAGAACATCACGTAATTAAAAAAGAGCTAAAAATCTAACAAATACACGAAAAGGTCCAAAACCAACATCTTATTAGTAAATAAACAGTGAAACTGAAAGAAACACACACACACACACACACACTTCTAAGGTGCAGCAGCATTTTTCTCAGCATCAATGGCAGCATTGGCAGCGTCCCTATCTTCATCGATGAAAAAGTCCCAAAGCCCATCCCACTTTATAAAAAGCTCAGTATCCTCATAATACTTCACCCTGTGCACATCTCTCGCCGGAGTAAACCAATAATCTCCGGGCCCCAAATCGTACTTTTCCCCTTTCGTCAAATTCCACACCGTCAATCTCCCCTTTATCACCACAGCATCGTGACCAAAAGTATGATGATGTCCCGGCTCCAAACTCCCGGCCTTGCACCTCGTCAGCGCTGATGTTGGCATCTCCCTCATAAGCTTAATCGAACCTCCCGGCATACCTTCTAAAGCCGTGAACTCCTTTTCTTCACGACCTCTCGCGAACGAGCACATACAACACGGTGGATCTATTATTGCTTGGGCCGCCATAGTAATTTTTAGTCGAATGTTTTGTTTGTTAAGTTGTTTTTTTGTGGAATATGGAACAATGTAGGGTAATGATGAGGGGATTATTTATAACTGAACTTTGAGACATAATGTGATTTTGTTTAATGGTACCGTAATTATGTAAACGTTGAACATTTGGGGAGTTGATTGAATTGAAAATAGATTAGGAGAAAATCTCAGTTGTTTAATGAAGTGCCATTCCGCGTGACTGGTTAATTTATAATTCGGTATCTGATCTGATCAACAAAGTAATTAACTATCGAGTCAACTGTGAGGAGAACGACGAAATGTGTGTGTAGCAATAATATGCTCGTGTGATTTCACGTTGTTTTAATTTTTGTGTTTTTTGGTTGTTTGTTTATAGTTAATTTTGTTTGAGTTTTTACAATTTATAATAAGGCAAAAAGGTAAAAATCATCATGAATGCTTGATGAGTCATGTACACGTGTTGGTTAATTAAGGGGTCCCTTCGGATGCAAAGAGACGTGGTCGCACTATCGGGTTCGGCCAAGAGAGGGCAAAAATTCAAGATTTGTCCTATAATTTGGCCAAAGTCCAAAAATCCACTCTGTTATTGACCACTTTCAAATTGAGTCCAATAATTTGACAATGTTATCAATTTTGGTCCCATTTTTATCCGCACCCTAGATAAAATCATGATGTGACAATTTTTTAATTTGAGGTCAAGAATGTGATGACAGCGGCAGCGTCCAACTCGATCCAAATGTGAGAGGAGATCGATGCAGCAATCTGAAAGCTGATTTGAAGCGCCTAAACCTCTGCATCATAGCTCGAGGAGGCCCGAAGAGGGGGCATGGAAATCGGTAATAAGGGTGCCGCTTTGATTCCTAATTAGGCCCCCCACCTCCGACGGCTCCGGTAAGTCGGTCAAAGACTCTGTCAGTGTTTAGCTTAACCCAAAGAAGCTTGGGTTTCAGCCAAACAACAGCTCTGGGCGTGGATGCTGGACAGGCGGCAACAGAGATGGTGCAAGGCGATGAGGTGGCGTGCAGCCTGTCCAGTCTCTCTGGGTAAGTCTGTCCAAAGCGGTGAGGAGAGAGAGATACTGGTCAACCTGCTAAATAATATGGGAACATAACAAATAAATATCCCTATGTTTCACATTATTCCTTTCTGTCCAGGTGGCCCAAAGGATCAGACAAGGAATATGGAAGCCCACGTGCCTATCGTGTGTGCTGTGTCTGATAAAACTCCGAAATTCAAAGAAATTATCTGTGGAGGGTAAGGGTATATGAGTGTAACTGGTATAATGCTCTCACACTGTCCTCACAGTCTCGCTCTCAAAAATTATACATGGGATAGAAAAAATGTCCCGCAAGTATTGTGTTTGCAAATCATCATAGACTAGAAGTCCACATGCGATGAAAAAGCATGCATATATGTGTGTGTGTATAGATTCATGAGCAATATAAACTCACATGCACTGAAGTCGTCATGGAATCTATTAATGGATCACAAATTTCAGAACATCTACTCCTTAAATGTGTTTCAAACCAGTTACATAAGAACCATTGTTTATACCTAAGCTCAACAAGGTATATATGTTAAATGCGAGGAGCTGTAACTATAAGCTAAACAAAAGAGAAAGAAAATGATAACAAGAACTATACAGCTCCGTAGCTCCATATCACGCAAAGTAAAATTTTATTATTAGCAGACGAAGTAACGAAATAGAAATGCAAAATGTGCAGCCGCCAGCTAGTTAATAAAAGCAGCAGGAGACTAAACAATGCCACCCTATATATCGTGTCCACCTTATTTTCTTTAACCTATGCAATAATTTGAAAACCAAAAATAAAACTCCAAATAAGAATTACCATTAAACAGCATACCGAATAGCCTGATCAAGTCCCACTACTCTGTGCTCCATCCCTCCCAACAATTCCAAGCTCACGCATTTCCTTAAAAAACGACTCATAGTGTTTCTTGTCAATGCTGCAACTCCATTTGGCACTAACTTCGAGTGTGGGGACACCATTAAAAACAATGATCTTCCTTTCCTCCCCCCTTTTCTTTGCTGGAAAGAAAGTCTTGCCACGACAAATACACTTGCCACCATCTTCTTCGTACAGAACAACCCCAATGACAAGGGAGGAATAACACGGTACAGCAACCATCGACCTCGTAAGCTTAATGTTTCCATCAATTCCCACTATACCCTTGTCACCTCTCTGAATCACCACTGTCTTCTTTTCCTCATCATCCACTCGTCGTTTAACGAATCCTCGAGTAGAATATGCAAGGACGGGCAATGATGAAACCGGAAAATCTGCTCACCCCTTCACACAACATCTTTACACTGACAGTGGCCCACGCCCCGTAATACATGCTGTAATACACGTCCATTAGGAAAGGATCGCATTCTCGATCACCAATCAGTGATCTCCTGATGGTGGGCCCGACTTGCAAAGGGCCATAAGATAGTGGGAAGCAAAGCATCCGAACTGCAAATACCTTCGCCTGGGAACAGGTTGTTGCTGTTGTGGATTTGGCCGTTAACAAATATATCATTGTCATCAATCTTCAAAGCAAATGATAGAAAAATATCCTGGTCTTTGTATATAGGGGGTCGGGGTTCGGGACTGGTTAGGGGAAGAATAACTACTTCTTTGGGGTTAAGATTGATGGTATGAGCTTGTAAGGGGGTGATTGTTTATGAATTCATCTAGAAATTAATTGGTTTTTTTTAACTATAGTTACTTTTGAAAAAAGTTGGTATGGTTAGTTGTTAGTGGATATATTAAATAATATTTAAAATAAAATAATTAAAGTTGATATGATGTAAAAGTAAGAGAAAAAGGATTAGAAATGGTGGTTAGTTAGAATTATGTGAGAAGATGAATAGTGAATTAAAGTTGATGTGATGTGTAAGAATGATTGGTTGATATTATTTGATTATATTGATAATATTGGAGAAAGTGGAATTGGGTTAAAGTTGAGTTAAATTTGAGTTTTGATTGGTTTTTTTCTAGGTGAGTTGATAAACAATCACACCCTAAATGACTCACTCTGTAATAAGTAATTGGATCAGGATTTTCAAGCTCAAAATCCAGTGGCACTGTTGCAATCTCGCCATAAATTCGGCCTTAATCAAGGGATCGCTTCTGATTTTTTCATTCAATTTCAGCCTAACCTTGAACAATTCAAAAATGCGTACCCCCACGGCGCCGCATGCTTGGGATTGTGACAAAGTTCGACCTTATCGAAGTTTCTATCACCGTTTGTAACCTGAACGCCATCGATCATCGGAGCATCCCTGTCCCACAAATCTTCTTCCACAATCCAACCTGGGATCGCAAACTCGTCGACTGATCCAGTTGGTGTCTGAATCACCTTCATAGAATAGCATCTCGTCGTCGTTGTCGTCGTCATCGTCGCGGTCTTCTTTCTTATGTATCTTCTTTTCGTCGGATTCGATTTCTTCTTTCTCTGCTCGCTTATTCCTATCGTTCACTTCCATGGCTTCGCAGTTAGGGTTCTTGAGCATGTGCGAATTGGGTGGGGGTCTTAGGGTTTTATGTGTTAAGTTTCTGAACCGGGTTCAGATTTCCCTTGTTCCTTCAAACCTGTCTCTCCCAAAACACACCCACTTGACCTACCTTCCTTTATTATCCTCAACCCCCTTCTAGTTACTAAAAAATATTGAATTCAAAAAATTAAATTGATTAAAAATTTATTCTAACTAATGAAAAGATAAATAAAATAATAATATCAAACTCATCAATTTTTAATGGTCGGGATAGTCTGTTGAAGTTTCCAACTCACCGTCGTGTATTACCAAAACTTAGAAATTTCATCGACCTATTGTGGAGGATTGGAATTTCACACTAACAATAAGAAGACCTCATCAGGTTCTTCAACAAAATAGCTCTATGTAAGGATGTTAACGAATCGAACGCTCGTGAAGATAACATCGTTCGAGCTCGTTTGTGTATTAATCGAGCTGAATTCGAAAAGAAAATTTGACCCGTTTAATAATCGAAAAAATACGAGCTCGTTAAAATACGTTCGATAATGTTCACTAACATTACTCTTTATATACTTTTATTTTATTTTTATATTTATATGTATAATATTTATAACAAGAAAATCTAAAACATGAAAATAGAATANAATATTTTTATTGAACTTTTTATCTTCAAGCTCGAACGAATAAATTTTGAGTTAATCAAACTGATATGAGATACCATGCCTGAGAGAGTAAACCAGTTGACTAGGTCAAGCGAATCGCCCGATCGATCGGAACTAGAGCAGAACAAGTGGTGGTCGAGCTTCACCGACACAGGATTAAGAGCTTTTAATTACCAAGAAGATAACATAAGGAGTTCAGGATGATAATAACAGGTCGAGCTAGGGCCCTCGGATGGCATGATAGAAACTCGACCTATATGAATGGCTAGTCATAGGATCGACCAGAGGAAGCTACATTCAACTAGTTTTAGAGTTGTAATTTGCTATAATAATTTTAATTTTTTGTGTCAATTTCGTACCTTCTAGACTGTAATCTTCCCTACCTGGTTGAGCTCAATCTCCTCGATGAGATCACCACGGAGGTCTACCTCAACGCACACCCGTGCGACGGATAGCCTCGACCGGTTGGCTGTAGCGGCATCAACCTCGATTGGATTGCCAATACAACTGGAAATCGAGAAAAGGGCAGAGGAGTCAAAAAGATGAGGGAGAAGGCCTGGGAGACAACACCAGACTGGGACAATTGGCGACTCTGTTGATGTAGAGAAATCGGGGGTGTATTTGAACACGCGACCGGAGCACCCACAGACGTTCAAATACGTCCTGATCCAAGCAACATTATAGTCCTCTCTCAACTCAAATACGTCCAGAGGGAGGAGACAGAGAAGGAAAACTTAAAAATAAGGGCATTGTCATACGACCCGACTAAGGAAGAAACAACGGGCTTAGGGAAACTTACCGTATACTATCCCTCCTCGGAGCGCGAGATAGTCCGTCGTTGCTTGTCTCGGAATGTCTCAAGCAATAGTCTCTTGTGGCCCGTCTTGCCGACATGTGTGCCGGTGATAGCGTCCCAGAATGATCGGAGGCCGGCAGAGGGCAAGGCTGGATTCGCCAAAGCCAGGATCGAGGAGGCTCCTGGGGCCGAGGGTGGTGAGGAGCCCGTCGGGGGGCTGTCTGTGGGTTCCGCTGGGCAGGCCTAAGGTGCCGGGAGCTAGTGAAAAGGAGGTTGTTGGAAGGGAGGGCCCGATGGCGTGAGCTCCAACTGCTTTGGGGACAGTGCCGGAATGGGTGACTTAGCCGGATACGCCGCTGGGAAGTGGGCCCGTCGGGGGTTGAGCCGGTTGGGGTGCTCCGGGCTGTGGGACTGAGGAGCCGGTAGCCAGAGGAGCGGAGCCCATCGAAAAAATGAGGCCGGGACCGAAACCGGACGCCTGAGAAGAAAAACCGACGAAGGTGAGAATGTTGGAGCCATTACCAGAGTTCTTGCTGGGCGCCGGTGGTTGGGGCTCGCCGGTCGCCGGAGGTGAGCAAATGCCGGAAGTCGGGTCGACCATCGGAGAGGTGGAGGTTGTATGGTTGGGAATCTGTGTTGCTAAGGGATGGTGCTCCCGGGGTATAATATGGTTGGGAGAGGGAGTGGATATATGGGCTAGGGACTGAGAGGCGAAGGACGGGTGGGCCTGGGGTGTGATATATGAGGAGTGGGCCGAGGATAAAGCAGAGGGGGGAGTTTGGGTTTTGAGGGGTTGAGGATGTTGGCCCTTAGGTGTTGGCCCAACAGATAAGCAAGGGGCTGAGGCGGGCCTTGGAAGTAGCCCAGAAGGAGAACGGGCTGAGGCCCTATGCAAATCTACCTTATCCAGCTGAGGGCTAGGGATCGCCATAGAACCACCCCCATCTGTACGGACTGGGAAGGTCAGATCTGGAAGGCTGTCAACGTCCAGCGGGGGGAGCAGGTTGACCGATAGAAGTTCTGACGAGAGAGTACTAAAAAGAACCGACAGTTGGAGCTGGCATGCTACGTCCATAAGACCGGCCGAAGTCGATGACAGAGGGCCATGGCCGGAGATAAGATCTGAAGAGGAAGCACGGCTGTCACCTGAGAACTTCAAAGGACCCGAAGCCGGCGCTTGAGAGACCAAACTAGAAGACGTCATGGGAGCCTTGACGACAGTCGAGACTGGAAGGCTCAAAGTCTGCGCTGAGTTGAGACCGGTTTTGTCGGCGACGGACGAGAGGTTGGCGGAGCTGAAGCTAGGATTTCACCTTCTTCCAGGCAAGGAGACGGTAGACTGTTGTACAAGAAAGCCATGAGGGCCTTCCTAACGTCCAGTTGCGAGAGGACCGATATGAAGTCTGGCGAGGGGGTGGTCGGAGAAGGGGTAGGAGCTGACGGACATGGGGCGATCTGCAGGGGAGGAGACATGGTAGCTAGGACAACAAAAAAAAAAACAGCAGCTTGCCGGAGCAAGCCGCCGACGACGGTTGCCGGCGGGGCTAGGCTTGGGGGAGAAGGCTGTGGACGAAACAAGGAGGCTAAAAATGGAGGAAGGGATATCTAGAGAGAGAGCTAGAGATAGGGAAGAGCATATTTTTTGGACTCCTTTTATCTCATTCTTTACTAAGAGCATCTCCAATGTGACTTTTGTCCATATCATCAACTTTTGAAAGTGTGTTACTATTTTTTTTTTTCCAATGCATCTTGTCATGAACTCTTTCATGATGAGGTGGATGTCATTTAATGTTGACAATGTTGAGCACACTTTCTAATATCTAACACCATGTTAAACATGATGACTCATCAATTTACTTTTTCTTGTATCAATGACTTATTTAATTGGTCCACCTATACAAATAACTTCTTATCAAATTGATGCATTGGAGATACTAGTTTCATTCAAATTTCTAGTCTTTTAACATTATTCCAATGTGGATTAACATTACAATCACTAATTGACATGTGTTAAAAATAATGGTCTTTCACACTCATGGCATTAGAGATGCCCTAATTGCAATCTCAAGGAGTTTGGTGTTCCATAATTTACAAGTACCAATGATTTCGGGATAGAAAAAAGTTATGAATCAATTTCAACTCATATGGAAGTCACATAAATTCGTTAAAGTATGATAAAAGTATCAACTCGAGAAAATAGTGGTTTGCTTCTACAGTTAATAATTATTCATTAAGTACACAATCAAGTGGAACTAGAGGTCATGTCAATTTGAACTGAACACAATGCCATCGAACAACATAGTCACATATGCATCGCATAGTGTCTCGCACTTTCTATGGTGAAAAAGTTAATTTATCAACAGGCAGTATGAAAAACACAATGTTCTATAGCTTAGACAGGGTCGAGAAAATATTAATAAATTTATTTATATTTATCATCATGCATAATTTAAAGAATATATTATATAAAATATATTAACTAATAAGGTCGAGTACAAAGATTTGATAAAATCTAATACATTCATAATTGTTGTATATTTTAAATAATTATTATTATTTTTACGATATAATCAATACAAATTTCATGAGTAAAAAATAAAATATTTTTTTATTCTTTGCAAAAGAATTTTTTTTTTTTTAAACGGAATTATATACGGGCGCCTAGATGCCGTCAAGACTGCCTAGGCACGAGTAGCTTCATAGCCCACCTAGGCGCCGCTTAATTGTTGGAGCGCTTAGAACGACCGCTTAGGCAAAATTCCTGGTAGGGGTGAGCATGGGTCGGTACGGTTAGGAAATTTCTCAATCTCCAAACCGTACCGAAGTTCGAAGATCACAAAAATTCAATCTCCAGAACCGTACCAAAAAATCGGTTCGGTTCGGTTCAGTTCGGAGATTTTTATTTTTCGGTTCGGTTCGGTTTTCGGGACTATCGGAACGATTCTGTTCGGTTTGGTTCGGTTCAGATATTCGGAGATTTCTTATCCCTTTTAAATTTTTTTTGAATGACCACCTAGTTATATTTTATTTTTTATATGTTTTTTTTTTTTAAAAAATCCAACATTCATCAATACTTTGTCATACTAAAGATTTTATTTTCAAATAAACTTTAGAAGTAACCCTAAATTTTAGTTAATACTATATTCAACTAACATTGAAAATTTAAAATTCAAACAAAATATAATACAATTTTATATTAAAGTGATATTTATTTAACTTTCCATACAATGTTAGTTATAAGATAAACTAAGGCTATGTATCGACAACTTTAAGTAAAGCTTAGATTTTTTTTTAAATATTTAATCTTTCATTCCATTTTAATTTCTTTTTAAACAGGAGAAATTCAATTGCAGATCAAGTATTAGTAAACATGAAATGTAAGTGAATCTTAATTGTTATTACTATATTTTATTTGCATTTTAAAAATTCTCAAATTATATAGGATCAAAGTTGACATAAAATATATTAATAACACGCATCTATTTTTATAATTCAGTTCTTAATTTTGGTTTTTCGGTTCGGTACGGTACGGTACGGGACGGTTCAGTTCGGTTTTCGGTACGGATATTTATGAAATATCCAGAACCGTACCAATTATTTTTTCGGTTCGGTTCGGTTCGGAGAAAGTCAAATGGTCAACGGATATTTTTCGGTTCGGAGTGATTTCGATTAGGTTTTCGAAACGATTCGGAATTCTCTGAGTCCCATGCTCAGCCCTAATTCTTGGCGCCTAGGTGTCACCTAGCGCCTAGACCAATTTTTAGTATAGAGAAAAACTTGATATATTTCTATTGTGGGGTGAAAAAGACTATTCACTAAAAATAAAACAACCATTGTTCTCAAGGTATGTAATATCTTGACAATTTGCTAGATAAAAAATACTCACCTAGTATTTTCCCTAATAAAAACACCCTTGTAAAACGAATGCATGAA